CGGGCCCCGGCCCAGTCAAGGAGCAGCACCTACCTCCGGGGGTGGAAATGGGCAGGAATGGGCCGGAACACCGTCCCGGAAGTGAAAACCCCCGCCCCCTCCCCTGGCGCGGGCGACGTGCCGGAAGGAAATCACTCACCCTTCTACCGTCCCCTTTCCCCCTCCCCCAGCGCTTTCCGTCCCCGCGCCCCCTCCCCGCTCCTGTCTTCCTCCTCAGTCGGTTTGGAGGGTGGGAGCTCAGCGTCACGCTGGCCATCGTGACCCCGCCCACAAGTCGAAGGGGTGGGGCCAGGGGCGGGCAGAGAGGCCGGGACGAAGGTGTGGCTGGAGGAGGAGACCAAGGGAGGAGTGGGGGAGGAGCTAAAGCCGACGCAGGCGGGGAAAGTGCGTCATGACGTCATCGAACGAAATCCTTATATACAGGCGCCTGGACGCCATCTCGGTCTTTCGAGGATGGAAGTCAGCAAGTGGTACGTGTGTATGTTTTCGCGCATGCTAAGTTGGTTCTTGGCTCAAGGCCTTCAGGTCATGGCAACTAAAGTCACCCTAAACGCGCTGATTTTTATGGGCTAGTTGCAAGCCTTTGCAGGAACCACAGGATGAGGATTGTAGAGGATTGCGTGTAGGGTGCGGGCTCGACATAAACTCAACGCTCGGTTGTAGGGCTCAACTGCGGAAATACCTCGGCTCGCGTGCCCTGCCTCTGATGAAGCTTACGTTGGTAGGGACATCTGAGACTGTTGATGAATGCCAACAGCTCTGATGGCGGCGCATGCCGAGTCACCGAGTGGGTCTTCCTAAATGACCTCGGCCTGAGCCACTTCCTCCAGGGAGGCGGGTATTGGGGTAGTCCACGTGGTTCTCTGAGTGGCTGCTTTCCGCATTGCAGCATTTTTGCCGTCAGTGGTTCTTAAACTTAGCTGTACAGTGCTCTTGTTATAATACGTCTAGTGCACTGAAATTGTGGGTGATGTAAACCACTTGCATAATTTAGAACAAACTGAACAAAAACTAATATTTTCCCTAGGAATGATGCTCGGCACGAGTGCAAGGTGGCATCTGATGGACAGGTAAGAACCGGGTAAATACGGTGGGAAGGATGAAATTTGCCTAGATGTGGTCTTTTTTTGTTAAGCCTGTGATGGTTTAAGAGTAGTGGACAGAAGGAATTTCTGACAAATCCTATTCTGAGGCTTCAGTATTCGTGACATGAATGTGTAACGTGGCTGTGTAGTATGCTTCATTGGGATTTCTTTGTTTTCTAGTTCTGTGCCAAAGGAATGAGAACCGCTGCTTGGGTAAGTGAACCGAGAGCTTTTTCAGGCAGGGAAGTTAGGTTAAAGGTACACCCCATGTGCCACAATGATGACATTTTATTTGCTACTCTCGACTGTGAGAATGACGAGAAGTATTACCACCATTATCCTAACTGAGGCACACAAAACGGTGATTTAGAGAAAATAAAGATTGCACCAAAGTTGACCTGAAACTCTTCCTTCTCAGGTCTTAAGGTGCAAGCATCACTCTCTTGCCATGGGCAGACAGGTGAGAACGTTTTTATGTCGATCTTATTTACCCAGCACTTTTCAATGACTTTTCTAAGCGATCACACGTTACCAAATCAGTGCTGATCCTCAGGGCTTTCCTCCCGTTTTCAAACGTGAACGCCTGCACTAATATTTAATGTTGGGGGACACCTAAAGAAACGGATACTGTGATGCTTGCATAGTTCAGCAGATTGAATTCTGAAGAGATGTACCACTTGTCTGATGTATCTGCTAAAAAAGAGTTTGCTGGTAATAGCATAAGCAAAGTGCCATTACTAATTTGCTTTTCCTTTTGTGTAGACACTAAAAAGGACTAACTGGAAGTTGGAATGGTAAGTAAAATTATAACTTCACATTGGTAACTGGACAAGGACAACAGTGCCACCAGTGGCTTCTGAGGGTTTCCTTCTAAGGCACTGGAAGCACTCATCAGGAAGTGCTTGAAAAGGTGTGAGTGCATTAAATATCCGGTCCTTGTCCTGTCACCATTCCTAAGATGTCTGGATATGTAAAAGCCTGTATGATGAGAAGGAAATACTGACTGAATGTGAAGGTCTTAATTAGCTCTATCTGATTTCAGGCATTTTTTAGATTGGTAAGGAGAAAATTCATCTTCGGCTATTTGAAAACCACTCTTTTTTTTCTTAGGCGGACTTAGTTTCTTGACATGTCTGGACTGGCTTGATTTACTTCTTGTAAGTATTAATTGTAAAAAACATTCTAATTGACACAAAACTGAGAATAATAAAATACACTGCATAACTACCAAGCTCCTAATGCTTATGTTGTGTGTGCGATTAGTTGAGTGCATGTTGCGCATGCTTTGAACGGGGTTTTTGTAATGATGTTGATCAAATGTCTGACCTGAAATTAGCATGTAGACAAATCTAACACTGAAGAACCCTGTGACATAAAACAGTAAGCAAAGAATTTAATGATATTTAACATTAATAAAAATGTTCTATTTCCCTTCTAGCTGTTGGATACAGATTTTTATCCATGGATGGCATGCTTGGGGTAAGACATGAGAACAGATTTTGGCTTCTGGTACAGATTTATATTGCTAAAATATGCTTGTCTTAGTGATTGCTGACAGTGTTTTCTGGTGTGCAAAGACATTGATTTGGGAAATGTAGTCTAAATAAATACTTTTTTTCAGATGCAGGTTTTGGAGACATTTAAAATAAAGGTATGCATTTTATTAATCTCAAATAGTTACTAAGTAAGGTGCTGTTAGTGATGATTTAAAAAAAAACAGATGGGAATCTCTCTGAAAAAGAATGAAGATTTTATTTTATAACTGAAACAGTACCTGGAACATTTTATAAATTTTCCTATTATTGCCTGTTACTAAATTTGAAAATACTTCTGCAGGTGTGAGAAGTTGGGTTGGCTACAAGTCCAGGAATAAAGAGTTTTAGCAGAGGTATGTATGGTAGCTTTGATTTTGGTTTCTTTATATTTATAGTGGTTTAAAGCCGATACAATGATGATAACATAGTTCAGCAGACTAATAGTGATGAGCAATATTGTCTTTCGCTCCTATCTGATGTATCTGGCTACAGCAATCATAACCTCAAAAAGGGAATTGGCCATGTTCCCACAAAACATTCTGGGAACGTGTTACACCAAATATTCTATGTGGTACTGGAGGATCAATAACATTTGGAGAAGTGCAGGTTAATAACACTTTGTAAACAAATTTTTATGGCATATAAATCTGTAGATGATACCTGAATTATTTAGCTGTTTTCATATTTTAATTCATTAAATTTAATTTTGTGCTGAGATTCACAGCAAAACTGAAGTACAGCTCCCATATACCTTGTGATTGCACACCTCATGATCAGCATCCAGCCACCAGAATTAGCCTTTTGTTAAACTTATGTCCGTAACACAAGTACACATAATTGCCACCGAAAGTCCATAGTTTACATTAGGGTTCACTCGTGGTGGAACATTCACTATTGAGCTATACAGAAGGTGCTCACTGCCCTAAACGTTATTTTTCCAGAAGTTAAAAATGTTGGTAGGGTATATTTCTTTTTTTTTTTTAATATATTTTATTGATTTTTTACAGAGAGGAAGGGAGAGAGATAGAGAGTTAGAAACATTGATCAGCTGCCTCCTGCACATCTCCTACTGGGGATGTGCCCGCAACTCAGGTACATGCCCTTGACCGGAGTCGAACCTGGGACCTTTCAGTCCACAGGCCGACGCCCTATCCACTGAGCCAAACCAGTTTCGGCATATTTCTAATAAATGTCCTTTTTTTCGTCTTCAAACAGGCAGACCTGAAACCATGGAGATTTCCAGGTAATATATGATACTTGTTATATATGATAAGTTAGAATGTAACCAGTGATGTAGTGATTCTGCCAAATGAAATAGGATGATATCACTCATAAAACCGTTCCATTTTTATTCTGAGGTTACGTTACTGACAAGCATCACACAAGTTTTTTTTTTACCATGATTAATGTGCATTCTTTGCTTTCAGGCATTTATGGTAGCGGTCATGGCAACTGGCTGACCTTTGAGAGGTAAGTCTTGTAAATATCAGTGCTGTGGTTTTATTCCAGAATACATGATGATCTCAACCTAACTTGAACTCTCTCACTGATTACTTGATGATGAAAGAAGATCTGATATTCTGTATACTGTACTTCAAATACCATTAGAATTGAAGTATGGAAATGACTAAAAGTGGCTATTTTATTGCAGGCAGCTGGATGGATACTCATGGGATAGAAGATCAACTTTGAATTTTAATAAATTTTTATAAACCATCTGATTAAGTCTGCTTATTTCATCTTAATGGGATGAAGGAAGGAAAATAGGACATTTTTGTGAGTAAGACCCCATGGCAGCATACTGCCAACTGACCTTTTCATGTGTACTTCATAGATTCATAGGATGTCTTCATACAGAGAGATTGGGGGAAAGAACAAAAGCATGAAACAGGAAAGACAGAAAAGCAATGGGAACGTGTGCAATAGATAAATACGGATGCATTTCAGCTAAGACTCAGCAAGGTTCAGATGCGTTGTCCTGCCCAGTCTCCCGAGGATTTCGCCATTGCTGACGCTCACCAGGACAAGCGGAAATTCATCAGTGTTACTGTGCGGATCCAGAGGCCCTCCAGGCCTATGCTAAACGCAGCCTGATGGCTGGACCACATCAATAAAGGGACGAGGCAGCGTGCTGCTCAGCTTCAAAGCAAAAAGGGTCTTGGCATCTGGGACGTGCCTGCGTTTCCCGGATGCACCAGAGAATGCTTAGAGCAGTGGTTCTCAACCTTCCTAATGCCGTGACCCTTTAATACAGTTCCTCATGTTGTGGGGACCCCCGATTTCATTGTTACAAATTGAACATAATTAAAGCATAGTGATTAATCACAAAAACAATATGTAATTATGTTTTCCAATGGTCTTAGGTGACCCCTGTAAAAGGGTCATTTGACCCCCAAAAGGGTCGCGACCTACAGGTTGAGAACCACTGCTTTAGACTTAATGCTAGTTCTGCAGGAAAATTTAAATACTCATTTCCGTTCCTGGTCCCTACTCAAATGTCCTGCCACAAAGCCCTGAGACATTCTGAAAATGGACTGTCCACACTAGCACTACCTCTTAAATTATGCACTTGTGCATGTTTTCACCTAATACGATGTTACTCCATGAGAGGGATTTGGTCTGTTGTATTGCAGTATTTCCCAAGCTTTTATCAGTAGGTGGTTATATTTATTGAATGAAGAGTGATCAGGTGAAGTCTTTGAGAAGTTTTAGTGACTTGAGTGCCAAAAGGCTGACTTATAAAGCACCTTGATCTTGAAATGGGGAATAAGTCTGAGCTAAAGCAAAATCCAGCATGAAGAAGGTCCATGACCTGGATGGCTGCGGTTAGGTCAACTGGCTGGGGGAAGATTGCCCACAGAGTGGTTAATTGAAGCAGTGAATTTGAAGTATATGAACTATAAGCATTAGTCCTGTCATGTTAATAAACGGGTGATAAAAGAAACGGCTTTTTTGAACAGTTAACCATATGCTGTTTAAGATTGCCCAGAGTGGTTAATGAAGCATTCAGTCTCAAGTATATCAGAAAAATAACTTCAACGATTACTATATTCTGTTTTCATCCTTTTGATGACAGCAGGTTAGGAATTGTCTCCATTTTTACAGATAGAGAATCAAGTTAACAGGCCACAAGGGTAACAGTCAATATATGTCAACATATTTGTAGTGAACAGAAGGATCTCCCAGTGTGGAAAGGGCCAAAACCCCACTAGAAAGACTATAGGCAGGGAAGACTAGTCTTGGTTTGAAAGTCCCAGTGGTGTACTCGAAGGGAAAGTTGGGGAGACAAACCCTGTATCCAAAAGTGGGACTAGGTTGGTTTAAAAAATGTGACCTTTGGTGAACACCAGTGGGAAGTTGGACTATCCTGTGCCCTCATTCCAGAAATGTTTAACTATAACTTGTCACATCATGGAGAGGTGCTATTACAGCACTGGTAACTAGTATGAATCCCTGGTTCCCAGTTCTAAATACTTCCAATATCATTGATTTGGGCCCCTGAAAAAGTTACACCCATTTACTAATGGATATCTTGTAATTTGAGGAAAAGATCACATTGACCCTGACCTCAACCCCATCACAGCCAACCATGGGGAATTTGAGTATGTTTCACTGCATACTCTGCCAAAAAAAAAAAAAGGTCTCATGTAGTTACATTCAGGCTGAAAGGCTGGGTTCCATAATTCAAAACCAATGCCTTGTTCTTAAAAACTTATCACAGCTTTTAAGGAAATCTTATTAAAGGAATTCTCAAACTCCTTAACATCTCCGGGCTTAAATGGTAAATGTTATGTTTATTCCAGACAAAAAGCTAGAGGAGGTGGTGTACTGTGCTGTACAAATGAGAAAGCTGAGACTGGTTTACCCCAGGCATTGAAAGGTCAAGGCTGAGAAGCCAGCATAGCAACAAGCTGCCAGCATTTGAGGGGTCTGCTGTAAGGGGCCTTCCCTATGGTAAGGCTGGTCCTTCTCTGCATGACCTCACAGTTGACTGAACTGTATCAATATGATCTGTTTATCTCTCCCTTACTAAAACCTCTAGGACTGGTTCCCAACCTTATTTTTGGCCATGCCCCACCTAAGCATCTCTTAAATCCCCATCTGCACTCCCCCGCCCCCCATATAATCCATATTCAAAAAGTGAACTGTTCACATGGAGGAAGCCTAAAAGGCCATTAACTTGGTCTAAACAAGCTTCCAAAGAACATGGCATCCATGAAAGAAAAAAAAAAACGAAAGGGCAGTTGAAGTACTGAGGAAAAAATCAC